TAATGTTTTGCTCACATGTAATCTGTAATATTGTATTAGGTTGTGTTCATCAGTTGCTGTCCACGGAGAGGGACCTAGATTAGTTGGAAAAGTTATTTGTTAGTATCATTCAGATGAAGCAATACTTGAGTAGTTGTAGGAGACATACTGGTGCAGCAGCAAGTCTTGGACAAAATGACTTTGTGACATAAAGCTTCAAGCTGTTATCAACATGTCGTTTAAAGATTCAGTGTGGAAGATTTAAGTAGATTTAGGGGCATCTAGCAGTGAGGACTGCATATTTGGAACCAGCTGAAACTTCTCCTGGTTAGAATTCCTTCAATGTTTATTGTTCACGAGGTTTTTACCGGGAGCCAAATTATCCACAGAGGTCTCTTCCTCATCAAAACAAAAAGACCAAATAGTTCAATGGTGTTCATTATGTCTTTAGTTTCTGATAATGACTTTATATGTTCTTTTATCTCAGACATGTTAGGATGTTACATACCTTGACATGTTTGGGTGGAAACTTCTGCCTTCCTCAGAAGTCAGTTTTTGACAGATCAGCTGATAAAGACGTGTCACAACCACCACCAAGTGACACCTCTGAGGAAGGCGGAAGTTAAAGCAGTTTCAGGTTGAAAATTCAGCATTTTCCCAATGCTGCTTGCAACAGATGGGCTTCCAACTATGGTGGCCGACGCCAAAACGCAAAAAACACAAATGTTTCTATCTAGAACCAGTGTTTGGTTCTGGGCGATGCAACATGGTGATCTCTGTGGACGAGGACCCACTTGATGTGTAGATACAAACGGCTCATTTTGAGGTAAGGAAAGGTAAAGGAGGTAGATAAAACATACTAATGATATTATATCCCATTTCTGCCAATATAACCCCCATAAATCCTACACACTGAACTTTTAAATGCTCTGGGCAATAAAATACAACACATCTTCTTTGTAGCATCCATGTGGTTTCCACATTATGACTCAAAGTGCATGTACACATCAAAGCCGGAAGAACAACTTCCCAACCTAGGAAATGGGACAATCCGAGGAGCACGTGAACGCACTGTTAGTAGCATAGTTACAGAAAAAAAACACAAAGCGGAAATAGAGGATTGCTACATTCTTGCGGAGGCCCCACATTCCCCAAAGCACCACAGCAGAGCTGTTGTAGCTCGTACAGTTCCTCCTCTGCTCCCCCCCACCCCCCTTCCACCCCCTCCAGCATCCAGCTTCCTCTGCAGCAGCATGGCCGCTCAACCCTTCCCTTTCCTTCCCTGCACTGAGCCTGGTCAAGCTCCAGCTCCCTGTACCCCGCCGCTCCAAATACATTATTTACACTCTCCTCCCCTCCCTTCAGCTCAGCTCCAAAGAATCAGGGCAGAGGGAAATAACACCACTGTATAACACCCCCACCCCTCTCCTCTCTCCCCCGTGCACTGACACACACACTGCATACACAAGCTCAACCCTCCCTCCACCAGCACCACCCCACCTGCTCGCTCCTTTCTCACTCTGCGGGATGGAAATACAGTGCAGGACTGGGCTGCGACAATGGGAAACTCTGTGAGGCCCCAGCCCTCCCATTAATCCCTTCTGACATGCCTCCCGAGGGCAGGGATTTGCTACAAGTCAATGCAGGAGACCTACAGTATGCAAAACAAGCCTGTCTGACTCTCTCATGATTTTCAAAGCCACTGCACTGCACTGCCTGTGAGACAGGAAGGCAGATCAGAGAGAGGGAGGGGGGGTGGAGGGAGAAAAAAATAACTGTGCACACAGTCTGCTTAGTTAACCCTTTCTTCACCCTCCTGTTCAGTGTACGTGTCACTTCCTTCTTCTAGTTTCACTCCTAGCCTAGATTGCACAGATAATGCTGATGACAGATGACAGGATGAGAACTGATGCTGAGCGATACTTTCTTCCCCCCATCCACTCGGCCCCTGCTGCTGTTATCCTCTTTGTCCTCCGTCATGAGATATTCAGCTGCAAGACACGCTTGTTACCACACCAAAATATGAAAACCACCCAACGTAAACAGGAACTCACAGGTCACATGATGCTCTCACTTCTCACAGGCAGAGCAGCTATTGAATTTCCGCCTTATCAGGGATCTAGTGATGAGGAGATAGGTGGAGGCTGGAGGCAGGGTGGGGGTGGCAGGGTGACATTAGAGAGTGTTTGGGGGGGGGTCGGCTGTCCACACCCTGCAGCTCACACTCACAGGTAATGTAAACAACAGAGCTGAATAGACAGGCTACACACAGAGGAGGGAGGAAACCTGTATGGAGGAAGGGCAGCTGAAGAAGTTAAATTACCACAGGGAGAGCAGCAGAGAAATGGAAAAACAGTTGACAGTAAGACATGGCCCCACAGAGGAAGAGAAATCCTCCAGGATTTGTAGCCTGCTTTAGATTCACGTGATTGGCTCCACTGCTGCCTCCCCCCCTCTTCTTTTTTCCACCCATCCTCAGACCCTTTGAGATGGAAAATGGGTCATCTGTGTGGAAGTTAATACTCTGAGCACGTACAGTGCTGCTTTATTTTAAGGACGTGCCTCGGAAATTTTTCTTCTTCTCTCCCTCACTGGTGAATGACACAGAGAAGGCGCAGGGTAATTAATATACCATGTTGCTGCCGTGCACACAAGTGGCAGTGCAGCAGTCTTTATTATAGCTGCTGGCACACCCTGGACATGTCTCATATTTCTCCCCAGCCTGCCCTCTCCATGACGACGTACAGTAGGCTGCAGACTCTGGCACCACAGCCATGACATCAGCAACGGGCCACAGACAGTGTGACTGTCAGCATCATCAGGCTTGTGGGAAAACATGTTCCAAAACACACACACACACGCAGGAGGACATCCAGGCCTCTGTGGACGCCTCCACCTAACACTCTGTGATCAGCAGGCTATGGGCAGCAAATAGCTCCCTGGGAGGTTGCTGCTCAGAGGTAACACTCTCCAGTGTAGGCTGGTGCAGCATATAGTGTGCTGCTTTGCAGAGCCACATGAAGCCGCCATAGCAACCTCATACAACAGAGTTATTTCTGGCTGCGTTAAACTCCCAAACACAGCTGCTCCTACATAACCAAACGTCTCCACCGGCCAGATACCCAATCTGTGTATGTATGGCACTCAGTATACAGAGAAGTAATCAAGCTTTGACATTCAAACTCACAAACTGGAATAACACAGCAAAGGTAATTACTGCTGTGGATAATTTGTTGACAGGATTTCCAGTAATGAGTTGTGGAGCTCAAGTGATTATAATATTCCCAATACAACATTTGACATACGATCGGAATCCGTGCAAACAAATTACAATGGCAGTTCGGTCTGCTCCCGATGCCTTATCCTGGGATTTTAATGTTGCCTTCAATAACAGGTTATTTCCTGCGCCTGTAATGAAGGAACAGGCTGCATCTGTCATCGTGAGCACATTAGAAAAAAAGGATTACAAACTGTTAAAAATCACCCGTCCCGAGCACATGGTCTCTGTGCTGCAGGCACAGCCATTGTTATTGCTGTCAACTGGAACTGTTTTGCTCTCTCCATTCAGTTGTCCTTCAGTGGAACACCAGAGAAATGTGCGCACACTGCCTGGAGCAACAGTTCCCCCTACTGCACAAGGAGAGGGAGGCTCTTTTATTTCCCCTTATCCTCTCCAGCCTGCTTCATCAGATATGAAGAGCTGACTCATAACCCATTAACTCAAATAGAGCAGGGATGCAATTAAAATAATGGCATTATGTTAAAAGAAGTACAACAAACACCTCACTGATTAGATTAATTTCCTGCTCAGGATAAAGGGCACAAAGCTGTTTTAGATGAAAACTAAAGATTTGCTGTGTCATCCTGAGATCAGTGTCATGGCTTCATGTCAAGGGCTGTTTCACGCGGTTTACTTTATGATGGCGTACTCTGAAAACAGGCAGTACTGGTCTGGTATCCTTCACTGACCCCTCCAGTCTGCAGGGGACAGAGTCCAGCAGCTTGGTGTTTATTTGCAGTTGGAGCAGGCCAGCGGTGGATGTGTGGAGGGGTCTAAACCTGTTCCTACCCCCCAGCGCCGGCAGCAGACCACAGCTCCGGCTTGACCTCCAACACATCGCCTGTTATTTTTCTCCTCTGCCTCCCCAAAGGACAGATTAACAACGACTCACTTCTTCTGCACACGCGCCCAGTGCCAGACGACTCCGTGGGCCTCCTGACAGGCTTCTCCTTTTCCACCAAATGGCAAACTAGCAGGAGTGCTGAAGAAAAGACTGCAGAGTGAGCACGAGTTCATGGAAAATGGAACACTGTCTACCATTTAGTCTTCACTCGACATTTCTGGGCCGCTGTTCAATTTTCATTTTTCATTCCTAATGTAGAAAAACTATTTTCCCCCTGCTCTCGTTTCCTGGCAACCTCCAAGGCCTGGGCTGCTCTGGCCAGAGCCCTTAGAAAAACAGCTGCAGACAGGGATAAAAATAATTACAGCTCTATTTGTCTTCCAAGAGACACACTTTCGAGCAGACCTACTCCCTTCCCCTACGAGCTGCTCCACTTTCGCTCTCCTGCACACACAATAAAGCCATTCACAATAAAGACACCATGGGTCGATGCACTCACACAAGCTCGTTTCACCATGTTAGTTGGGAACAAAAATACTGTACGTTCAAGATGGCAATTCAGCCTTGTTCTGGCACTGTAGAGTCTTCACTACCACACTGAAGGTCAAGGTTTTTTACGCTTATATTTAACATACCTAAATGAGATCCTAGCAATTAAATCCTGTAAGACTGTATTGCTTAACAACCTTCTGATACAAATCTTTTCTTTCTGTGGCTTTTTTTAACCTTCAGGAATATTTATCCTTGATTTCTGCACTTTCCCATTCATCCAAGTGACTCTCCAGCTCTGAGCAGACAGAAACTGCCCACACTCCACATTTCAAAACTGTAAATGCTTTAATTTTTCCTGTGCATTGCTACTGCCATCTACTGGTGAATGGAAACTCAGAGACTCAGTGTCTTTTCATGTTTTATTGTAGGATTTTACACACAAAAAAAATGTCTAGGTACTAAAGACCGGAATATAAAAATAACATTTAACTGACATTACAAAGACAATTTCAAAAACTTGACAATATTCCACAAATAAGTGCTCTGTTTAGTGTAGGCACTTGTACATACACTTCATATGTTTATCAACTGCGCAGCAATATGTAAGAAATCCTTTACATACCTCTGTTTTTTTATTTAGTGCATGACTATCAACAAAGCCCCCAAAATACAGCATGTGATTACTTTGGAGGGAATATATTAGAATCAACAGATGGATAGAAAACATGAAATCTGGTGGAACAAGATTAGAAAGATGGAATGTGTTTAACATTTCCCAGAAATATAACCTTGAGGAAGTTCTTTAACCTTGGAGTAATGTGATAGAGGGGATCATTGTTTTCTCGTGTCCAAAGGTTGAGCTCTGTCATAATCAGACTCCGCAGTCCCATGTACCAATCAGTACACACACATCAGTGCCTGAAATCCCTTCACGGAATAATAAAAGCAGATTTCCAGCTCGCTTTCATTCAGTGTCATTTTCTGTCAAAGACTGAGAGCTGATGATTCACTGGAAAACAGAAAATAATATCTTTTAGCATCATACCAAAAAGTGTATATCACCAATTATAAAACAGCTTATGCAAAATATTCTCATTGCCAACCAGTTATTTATGTTGGCATATCTGTCTTAGAGGTGAAATAACCAAGAGCGACTGACAACGGCTCTCAGCTTTGGATGATTCTAAGGTTGATCTTGCACCCTTTCTTGTCCCAGAGACAACAAAACGCAACTGGGGGGTTTACTAAGGATGCTCCACAACAACAACAAAAAAACAAATTTTAATGAAGGACGCAGGAAATCCTCACCTAGCAGACTTCCATCTCACGCACGTTCATTCCACGTCATCTTCTGATAAAGACTGAGAGCTGATGATTCGCTGAAAACCAGAAAATAACACCTTTCAGAGGTTGTGCCAAAAAGTGTATCGCACCCATTTTAGATCAGCAAAACTTTCTTTCTCACACAGGACATTAAAATTCAACTGTTTTTAATGTTGGCATTTCTGTCTTAGAGGTGAAATAACCAAGAGCTACTGACACACAGCTCTCAGCTTTGGATGATTCTAAGATTGATCTTGCACCCTTTCTTGTCCCAGAGACCACAAATAGCAACTGGGGGGTTTATTAAGGATGCTCTGCAAACCACACTGACATTTTACTGGTGTATGAAATCCTCACCTGGCTAATGGTGGGCAGTTTGGTAAGCAGCATCTGGAAGACTGGAGGAGGCAGCGTCTGCTGGAGCACCTGAAGAAGCTGCTGTGGTTGACCACATACTGCAATGGCATTGGTCAGGTGGTCCACACCTTTCTCAAAGTCACCTGGAGTTAGGGTTAGAGAGGTTTAGAAAACTATTTAGACACGAGGAAGTGGATGAACAAATTGAGACAAGAGGTGGAGATTGGTTGGAGATGGCACAACTGTCCTTGAGCCAAAGTGGTGAAGCACATGGAGACAGTAAATCTAGCACGGCTTTCCTCCATTAAATATTAAGGTTTTGTTCGAAGTGCTCTCTAAGCTTCCTGTAATGTGTATCATGCACACAAGTTTACATATTTGATGTATGAATAACCTGTGAACAGACACGTGGCTAACCTTGTGACAGGAGCTCCTCTCCCAGCTGGATCTCCTCGAGGAAGAACTTCTGAACAGCTTCTGCATCCTTCAAGTCAGGTAGCTTCAAAGTCAACGGTCAACATGTCAGACATGCACATTTAGGCCTCGGTAAGACACAAAAATATCTTAATTTGATGGGTTCACATTTGTCCTACCCGTGCCAGTCCAGACTTGTCACTAGTAACCGTTTTCTTTCTTCTACCTGCGAGACAAAAGTAGCATTAGATTGTGCTTATGTGTTGCTGTAACTTTATACACCAGGAAACACGTGGGTACAAGTTTTACGGTTAACTGTTTCTTGCACGAGTTCCTGCGACATAGCTGGGGAAAATGTGTTTAAGAGTAAATATTAATACTCTCTACGCCGTGTGTAACTGAAAAAATGAACATATTACGACTTTTAATACAGTGTCCTTGCGGCTTATTCGCCACATGGAAGCTAACGTGCTACAAGTTGACTGTTGAGCTAACTTCCTCCGCTCCCTTTAGCTCAAACACTTACGTTCGCGTAGCTTTTCCTTGAAGCGAGGGTCACTCCGTCGCTTTCTGTCAAAATAAATACAGTATGCGATGAAAAGGGCTCCACACACCCCGGCAACTATCGCGCCTGTCCGACCGCTCACCATATCTGTTCATAGACTCGGCACGCAGCACGCTAGCTAGCTAGCAGCTAGCTTGCTGCTAAGGAAGTGCGGAGAGGAAGTACGTCATCATGACGCAGTACTACGTCAAGCTCGCTTCAGGGCCACAACAATGTATGAAGAGTAAAAGCCATTAAATATTTATCGATAATATATATGTATATATAAATTGTGTACATAATATTAATGTACGTTTGTTTCTCCATAAATAAATTGAAAAAAATATTTACTTTAGGACCATTTAGCAACTTAATTGAGCCATTCTTTAAGTGAAAAAATTAATACAAAATCGTACAATGATCTGATACAACCTCAAGTACTTAATTCATTAGAAAAAGAGTATTATTGGCAAAAAATGCACATTAAGTATCAAAAGTAGTAACAATGTATTAAGTTTAAACAACTTTTAAATTTTAAGTTTGTGTACTAAATACTATTGGTTAGTTAATCTTTGACAGCACATCCCATTTTACAAGTTCAGGTTTTATTTGTAGAAACCTTGAGGACAAACTCTTGCACACAGTCACCATTTGCCTGTTGGTCCAGTTACCAAAACGTCCCAATAAAAAAAAAAGTACGTATTAAAAGTAAAATGTCTGCGTGCAATTGAGGAAAAGTATAATAAGCTAGAAATGCTCAAGGTAGAATTACCTCACTATTGTGCTTAATTTGAGCAAAAGTTACTTTCCACAACTGACGGCAAGAGACACACTGAATACTTCACAAACTATGGCATTTATTTCAAACAGAGGCTTCTGCTTTGCTTACATTTTTACAATAAATTACACAATGACCATCATCAGATGAGCCTAATAAATACTATTGAGCATTTTTCAATAAGCCCCATTACTTTCTCTTAATCTATGATCCAGACTATTTTCCATATACAGGTTCATACAGCTGTAGCTTCAGGCCATGTACAGGTTGGAAAATAGTTCAGCCTCATCCAAAACCACCATTTTTCTCTTAACAAGCACAAGCTATAGAAAAACAAAACAGAATACAAACTAAAGCAAAACAGAAAAATTAAAAAAAGGAAGAAAGAAAATAAGTAAACTGATGAGAAGAGGCAGAACAAAACAACATAAATGAACTCAAATCTGTCCCTACGAGAGAACTAGAATGAGGACAAAGGGGAGAACAAACATGCTGTAACCCTCAGTATTTACACTCAAACTACAGTTAAAACCGTAAAACTGTCTGTACAGAAAGGTACATGTTATTAACAGTGCAAGATATTAAATAGCTTGACTCAAAACACTTCTCAATATACAAATGTATAACAAAAGCATACAATTACTTACAAGTGCCAAACAAAATGTAACTTCAGGTTATCATACAGTCGGGGGGGGGGGGGGGGGGGGGGGGGGGGGGGGGTCTATACAAAGGAAACACTGGAGATGTCTTCAGAAATGTATACACATACGTCACTTTATGATATAAATGCACATTTACAATATCTTTACCTTTAATCTGGTCATAGTACAGGAAACAGAACCAAACAGTTTTTGGTAGGGATGAGTATGAGAGGAAGCTGGCATGTCGTTTTTGATCGTGAGTAAAATTAGAAAGATGCCAAAAGGGTATGCATTGCATTATTAAATGAAGCAAAAATAAACTAAATTAAATAACTTCATGTTTGATATTAACACTGCAAAATGTGGGATTCGGCTTCATTGGTGCGTTCTGCAGTACATGCTGTGAATACCTCCTATGGCTGCCTTCACTTTAACTTGATCCAGTTGCAAATTTTCACTCAAGATGATAGGATTAAATGGGTGATGAAAACATAATCAAATAAAGCAGATGGGCTTTTTAAAAAGGCTGATGAACTGGAGTAATGACATCACTGGATTCACCACCTCCATCATTGCACATTTTATACTGCCAAACTTAACAGTCACACCCAAGCTGGATGAGTATTCAGTAGTAGATTACAAGTGATCCAGTATAGGAGTTCTGCTTTTACAATTATACTTTTTAAATATCACCATAAGTTGATAAAAACCATTGTTACCTGTTGGACTCAGCCCTTCACTGCCTGCTCACTCATACAGCATTCTTCAGTCTTTTGTAAGGGACACATTATTCCAGCTGACTCTGATTTGAGAACAGGATCAGGAAAAAAAAGTGCTGTCCTTTCTCAAAGTGCCCCACAGAAAAGAACAAAAAGGCACTACAGTATCATTCCATATGCATCCACTGAGGCTGTCAGTGGACCTATGATGGTCTGAAACCCTATCCATCAACACCTACAAACATGTACAGGACCACACTCCTGTACGCGAGAAGAGCATCGTCAACCACTTGAGGTTTAACCACATGAAGGCCTTTTGAATGAGGGTGGACAGAGAAACGTGGCAAAGTTACATTTTCGTGCGCTCTTGATGCCAATGTGGCAGCGTTCCTCTGAATTCCCCGTGATAACATGGCGAGCACAGGCTGCGCCGTGTAGAGCTGTGAGGACAGAGCACAGAGGGGTCTTCACTGGAAATCATCCCTTACCAGTACAACTTTATCAAATGGAAACAATTATTGCTTGCAAAAACAATTCTTATAAATGTTCAATTAAGGAGAGCGCAAAAGACAATTTTGTATTTTTTTTTTTGACAAATTTCATCCCCCTACACAATCTTCATAAAAGTGCACTTAAGTGCCATTAGCTTGCCAAGGAAACAGTTGTCAATAGAAAATAGTGCTTGTTTCTTGTTTTTCTTTTGTCTCTGGTCTGGATTTTGTGCCCCAGTAGTTACAGTATGTAGGTTGACTTGTCCGTCCTGTCGGAAGGGAATGGGGGCGGGGACCCCGGGGTGCTGGTTAAGTGCTTAGTGCGGTGGCTTTTCGCTGGTTCATCCTGTCACCTGCACTCCACTGATACCCCAGAGTTCTGAGACGAGGAGGATGAAGATGACACCGGGGGGTCAGCCAGTGTCAGCATGACTGCTGCAGTCAGTGAGCTGGAGGATGGGGAGGAGGAGGAGGAGGATGAAGAGGAAGCAGCCACAGTGCCTGCAGAACAGAAACAGGATAGGGTACTGGTCAGATTAGAGACGTGTGGTTTAATGGTGCAGTGGTGTTACAAACTTAAAGTGTAACTCTGGTATTTTTTAGCTGGACCCTATTTTCCCTTTTTTTTGTGTCTAAGTGACTAAAGGGAACAACAATTTTTGAAACTGCAGCACTGAGCGAGAGGGCTCCAGCTGGCAGCAATGATACAGGCAGCAATGTGTTCCTTCGGACAAATAGAGCAAGGTCAATGTGCGTCCACTAAAATTTTTATTTTTGCTACTAACAGGCTGGGGTGTTTTTTTTTTGAAGTGGACAGGATCCCTACAGAGAGACACCTTTTTGTTTAAACAGCTCCAAAATCAGTATCACCAAAGCCACCAGACTCCATCTACAGAAACACTAATTTTATCTTCATAAAACACACTTCATTCAAAGTCAATAGAAACAAATTGAAACTCTCAAAGCTATCCTGGTTCGTCTTTTCATTGTTCCAACAATCCCCAACTCTGCTTTGGTTGAAATGAACCCTGAATTCACCAAGTTAGATGTGAAAATATGCTGGCTCTATACATGCTTAAATTACTGATTATTTAAATGGAGTCTGGTGGGTTTGATCGATGGGGACATCAGGGCTGTTTCTGGTAAAACAAAAAGGATTTTACTATTATGAAAAAGTCTGTCTCCGTAGGGATCATTTCCATAGTATTGTTAGACACTTATAATAACAATCTGAGCCTGTCTTTGGCAAAAACAAAAATACTGAAGTTTCTCTTGAAGAATATCTAGTGCAACCCAATCTAATCAACAACGTTATGATCAAAAGAGCTGACTCACTTTCCCGTTCTTTCTTCTTCATGCGTTTTCGTCGCCTGTCGATAGAGGCCACCTCAGACTTGAGGGAGAGGTAGTGGTTCCTGATGTCCTGCAGCTTCTCTTGAAGAAACGCAATCCTCTCCAGACTGCTCATCTTTTCCAGGTCAGCTAAGTGGAACGGAAATAACGTATTTTAGTATTTCAGGGTTAACAGATCTTAACGGCATAAACATATACAAAAAAGTGTTGCTAAATTAAAGAATCAATTCACCCAAATAAGAAAATGTATCTTTTTAAATTAAAAAAAAAAAAAAAGAGTTAATGTTGACAATTTAATTCTCAGGCATAAAAAAACGAAAACAAATGGGTCCGATGTGACACTCACACATCTGGAAGCTCCACTTGTACACACGTGGTGACCTTCCATGGTTGTCTCGATGCTGGCTGTGGTCGGCGTCACCCTGCTTGTGATACTTATGGCTCGAGGGGGGAGATCGTCCGTGACACTTGGGCAAAGTGGCAGCCTTCACGTCTGGTGTGTTGTTCTTTGAGGCAGTTGATTTGGCAGTGCCCTCAACAACGGACTGGTCTTCACTGTCACTGCTGTTGGCTGGGGGAAAGAAGGAGAATGATAAAGTAACATCTCATTCCCTTTCTCACCTGAAATCTGATTTAATAAGAGGAGATGAGTGAATATGAAATAGAAATGTTGTGACTGATAAAAGTACTGCTTGCTTTGGAAATGGGAAGGCTATCGGGGTGTCAGCAATTCTATCTACAGCTCTCCTCACCTGTTTTCCTATTCTTTTTGGGAGGCACACCTAGGCTCTTGCGGTTTGGCTTGTGTTTCTTTGAGGCTCCACCTGTCTGTGGTTCTTTCTGCCGCTTCTGACTCACAGACGCTACAAAGAAAATGCAAGAAGACGGTGAGGGAACAGGCGGACTGTGAAATGAGTTGTCAGCATGTATTTCTTTAGTATTCCATCTCGAGGAAGAAAAATGAATTCTGTCAATGAAAAAAATTCACAAGATCTGAGTAGATTGGCTATTACTTTTACCTTTGGACTTCTGCTCACTCTCCTGTTGGCTGCTGCTGCTCAGCTCGAGGCTGCAGCTGCTGCTGCTGTTGCAGGAGAGGCTGACATCAAACACCTTTGAGGGGGAACCTGCCCCCTCGTCCTGAGGGAGGTCTTGCAGCTCCCCACCGATACTCTCCAC